ATGTTAGAACTATAAAAATCATGACAGTTTTGAAGTCTCTGGAACTCACCCAACATTAATTCATCATAACCTGAATAAAAATGGGTAGGACGACAAGGCGATTTCAGAAAGGGAGCTCTACGTCTTTCTCTTTGTCCTTTTGCTTCACTTCGCTTCACTTTTCTTCTTTTCTCTCTTCATTCCCCATAAGGGGCCCAAATAGACACTTCCACTACAAGGTACAAGACTTTAGTGCAGAAAGAGACCTTAGAAATCACCTCGTGGGCCGGCCCCGTGGCTTAGCGGTTAAGTGCGTGCACTCCGCTGCTGGAGGCCCTGGTTCGGATCCCGGGCGCGCACCGACGCACCGCTTCTCCGGCCATGCTGAAGCCGCGTCCCACATACAGCAACTAGAAGGATGTGCAGCTATGACATACAACTATCTACTGGGGGTTTGGGGGAAAAATAAATAAATAAATAAATAAATAAATAAATAAATAAATAAATAAATAAAAAGAAATCACCTTGACCAAAGCCCTCCCAAGTTGTTGCCCAACTTCAGTCAGCAAGTTACTGATGCGACTATAGCCCAAATGCTAATCTCTTCATTCCTAGCTAAGGGTTGTCAGCACACAGAAATACAGAGAATGGCAAATGACATTAAGTCAAAATGAGACAACATCAAGATGATCACCAAAATCGTTCAGATCCACCAGCCGTGATTTGCTTTTTTAATAGTATATACTTGATTCAGAGAAGAAAAACCGACAATGCTATAATTATAACCACACATTTAATTATAAATACCAAAAATAAATTTAAATCTAATATATGGATTTACAATAGAGAAAATACTCAAAGCAAGATTATTAAATAATGCCATTTTGTTACTATTCCTTACATGTAATAACGAAAAAAGGCAAATTTTACTTTCTCCCACTAATTTTTTTTTATAATTTTATTTATTTATTTATTTTTCCCCCAAAGCCCCAGCAGATAGTTGTACGTCATAGCTGCACATCCCTCCAGCTGCTGTACGTGGGACGCGGCCTCAGCATGGCCGGAGAAGCGGTGCGTCGGTGCGCGCCGGGGATCTGAACCCGGGCCGCCAGCAGCGGAGCGCGCGCACCCAACTGCTAAGCCATGGCGCCGGCCCTCTCCCACTAATTTTTAATTAACAGCTGATACCTCTGTCCTGAGTTCTGATTGCAATTCTAAGTAACTTAATCAAAAAATCATATTTAAATTAGAAAAGGAAATAGCATTGCCCTACTCCTAACTCTTGTAGTTAAGTAGCTTCACAAACAAGTGAGCAATTGTCTTTTTTGTCAAATACCGTATAAGCTCTTTTAGCTATAATTCATAAAACAATGCATCAAGATTGGCATTATGGTACGTGAAATGCAGAATCAGCTTGGCAGTCCTCTTTTCATTGTCAAGTAAGAAATTGTGAAGATAAATGAACCCTGGGAATTTCAAGATCTGGAATGTGATGCCAGCTGGTGCATGGAAGAAATGAATTCAATCAGGCTACCTGACGTTCCCTGCTGCTGCCTGGAGCAGGGCAGTCTGCAAGGTTGTAAGAAGACCCAATTTGTCCTTGTCTGTCTCATGGTTTAGGTGCCAGGGGGAAAAAAAGATCTCTTTAAGTCTGTTTAAAAAAAGAAAAAAATAACATATGCTGATGGAAACTTTATAGCAAGTCTAATATACTAGATTTTGGAGATGAGGTGGAATTTTGACAATTGATTTTAACAATTATGGTTTAACAGATAGGAAGGCTGATATTGTACAATGGCTAATTTCTGAAAATAGAGATGTATTTTTTAAACCAGTCTTGTGCTCTTAATCCTCTGGGTTTCACTTGATAAAAGCCACAGTTCAACAAAATGAAAAACCAGAATTTCAGAAGTTTGAATGAACTACTAACTGCACTGTTCTATTAAACATTTTAATTCATTTTACATCTTCTTTTTTTTACAGTGTCTCCAAAATTCATTTGTGTGAGAAACATGTATTAACTACCTACTCTGTAGTGAGTTCTGTGCTAAATGCTGGAGATACAAAGTTAAATAAGACATACTCCCTCCTTCAGGGACCTTAAGTTTCCAAAACATAAAGGAGCTGAAAACCAAACCACAAATATCAGTCTGCCCTTTTACAAAATCATCCTGTGATAATAGAAAAATATGTGCTGACCATACTAGTCCCTGAACTTCAAGAATGGTGTGAAGTAGAGATACTATTTGATCAAGGATGGAAACGAGTAGGATCTTCCAATCTGGAAGGACAATGTCAGAGAGGGGTTATTACTAAAAGCTGTAAAATTGGGACTAATATGCATAATTTAAATTTAGTCATGGTCATCCTGCAAGATCCAACCTTCTGCTTTTCTCTAATATGATTTCTCCCTCAGAGATCTGGTCTACTTTCATGACCTCAACCCTCACCTCCTTCTTGAGGACTCTGAGTTAACCTCATTCTGTGCCCTATGCTAGAAAGTTCTACTAAGATGTTTTACTATCACTTCAAAATTAGGATATTTTAAAAAGTTATCACCTCAATCCCAGAACAAGCTTCCTCTCTTGCTTTCTCCATTTTGTTATTAATGCTTAAATTCAGTCAAATGCAAAACTTTGGAGTCATCTTTGACTCTGTCTCCTTCTTGTGCAATTAAATAGACCACCAGACTCTCTCAAGTGTTCTCCAAACCACCTTAATGTTTTCTTTTCACCTCTACCACTCCAGTTCAAGCACATATAATATCATAGTTACACTGTGGTAACAACATAGTTACCAATGAATAACCTCTTAATTGGTTTCCAGGCCTTCAGTCCTGTAACTCTCTAATCTGCCTGCACACAAAATTGGCCTCAACAAATATTTGCTAAATAAATACGTGCCACATTAATTTTCTTAAACCATCACTTCACATCCTCCCCTCCAGACAATCTTTGACAATTCATTCCCTAATTTCATAAAAATAAACTGGAACTCCTTAGACTAGCATTGAAGATCTCTCTTAATATATCCCCAAGATACTTTTCTAGAATTCTCTCTCCTGACTCCTGCATGTGGACTTACATCTCCAGTGAAATTGGTCCCTTCACCACCCACCCCCAAATACCCATCACTTTCCAGGGTCTTCCTGAATCTTTCCCATCCTTTAAGATGCAATAATTCTCATTTTAAGTTTATTATATGCTCCCTTTTATTGCTGGAAATCTGTGTGTCATCTTTTAAATTCCAGTGTAACCTATTACGTCAAACCATATGAAATTGTCACTATTTAACCAATCTTTTACCAAAAAAATAGAAATTTCACATGGTTCAATATAGTAAGTGCTGGATTTTTATGCTCCAGAGTTCCTAGAATATGCTGCACATAATGGACATTCAATTCTATTTGATCCATTTTTTTTACCACTCTCATTTGTAAGTTGGGCAAGGAAGCTGGCAGAGAGTAATTTACTACTGCAGAGGTAACAGTCTCTCCAACTTGATATCCCTTCAGGACTTATCATAATTTTGACTTAGTAGTCACATCAGCACTTCCACACTGAAAAGACTATTTCTTGTTCCGCTTAGGATAAGCTGGCCCATTTGGCTACAATGCTTCAGTCATAGCTCTCTGGTAAAATTAACAGGTTCTGTATTAGTTTCCTAGGGCTGCTGTAGCAAGGTGCCACAAACTGAGTGTCTCTAAAACAACAGAAATTTATTTTCCCACAGTTCTGGAGGCTAGAAGTCCGAAATCAAGGTGTCAGCAGAGCCATGCTTCCTCTGAGACTTTGGATAGAATCCTTTCTTGCCTCTTCCTAGCTTCTTCCAGTGCCTGTCAATCCTTGGGGATCCCTGACTTTCAGCCGCAGCACTTCAATCTCTGCCTCCCTTGTCACATAGCATTCTCCACTCATGTGTCCATGCCTGTGTCTCTTCTCCTCTTCTTCCAAGGACACCAGTCCTATTGGATTAAGGACCCACTCTGCTCTAGTACGACCTCATCCTAACTGACGACATCTGCAGTGACCCCATTTCCAAATAAAATCACATTCTGAGGTAGTGGGAGTTAGGAATTCAACATATCTTTTTGGGGGGACATAATTCTACCTATAATGAGTTCATTCTTGAAAGCTGTAGTTTATCAGACATGAAGAAAAGTGTATATTTTTATACAATTTATCTTTAAATAACTGAACTTGAAAAAATTATACAATTTGACGTGAGCATTTAAAGTAAGCAAGCATGCAGGCATTATTCAGTAGCCTTCTGAACTATTGTTAACTGATTCCAGTCCATAATCTTATGCATCGAGTCAGTGAAAATGTCCTCTTGTAACTTACATAGTAAGCAATTCAACCCAACCTTGAGTTTACAGGGGATCCAGACACTCAGTTACTACCTGGGATGACAGTTGCTGCAATCCCTTTTCTGAATTCATCAGTTTTCACTCCCCTGTGACTGTTATTACCTGCCCTCTGCAAATAAATGGAGAAAAGACATCATTTTACCTTTTAGCCTTTGCTATTCATTTCTGTTTCTACTTAATTCCCCTGATATTTCCAAACACATTCTAACTGAAGTTTCCACTATTTATCTGCCCAGATCTCATTCTGAGGCCTTCTTCTCTGCTTTATACCTGTCATTCATCTGTCCTACTCTCCTTTATCACCTCACCCAACTCGCTACATTGCCTCTACAATCCCTTTATACTATGTACCGAAAAGAATATTATACAATGGAGATAAAACTTTTGACATTCATAAGGAGAAGGCTGTGCTGTCACATAAATTCAATCCAGAGAATCAGTCCTAAAATTATGTACTGTGATAGAAATTCTATAGGCACAAAATATTAAATACATCATTGGATATCACAAGCAATCATTTAATTTTATTTTTATTTTTTTTGCTGAGGAAGATTCACCCTGAGCTAACATCCACTGCCAATCTTCCTCTTTTTGTATGTGAGCCGCCACCACAGCATGGCCACTTACAGAGGAGTGGTGTAGGTCTACACCAGGAACCGAACCCAGCCCACCAAAGCAGAGTGCACTGAACCTAACAACTAGGCCACCGGAGCTGGCCTACTCATTTATCTTTTTATCAGTCATTTAAATAACCAAAATCACCCACAATAGGGGAATACATATATATATAATTTTTATTATAAAAATTCAATAGAATATTAAATAGCTATTAAAATAATTATGAAGGCTATTTAACAATGAATATGCATATATAATATTAATAAAAATCTACCATGAAAATATTTCTCTGATTTTATTATAGCTATGAAATATTGTAAGAAGAGAATAGTGATACTAATTAATTCTGGAAGTGGTAGAAAAATATGTTTAAATGTGTGGTAAATTTTAAAAGTAGCTAATATAAGAACACAAATAGCATATCAAACTACTAGAGATAAAAAATTGGAACAAAGAAAATTCAATAAGTAAAACAAAAGGCTGGAAAAGAAAAGAGAACTTGTGGATAACAGAAAGCATGAAATCAGATGGCAAGAATGCATCCAGATGTCAGGAGTAACAATAAATGTAAAAGTGGTTAAATAACCATGTTGAAAGACAGAAAGTCTCACACAGGGCAAAAACTCAAATAAAATAAATTTGAGACGTGTTGTTTACAAAAGACATTCTTAAAATGAAAAATAATGCTTTAAACTAAAGGGATGTAAAATGATACTCCAGCCAATATTAGCTAAATGAAAAGTGGAGTAGAATTCAAGGTGATCATTAAAATGGGCAAAAAAAAAATTTTAGTTTTATATTGATGACTAGTACAATACAACAAGAAGATATAATAATCACAAACTTTTTGTGCATGCAACAACATAGCATCAAAATATTTAAATGAGAACTACTTATAAAGCGAACAAACAAAAAACAAAAAGGATAAATTATGAGTCATGAATTGCAGTGGAACACTAACCACTTTTCTCAGAAATTCAGTGTACAAATTAAGTCAGAAGAGTAAGGAGATGAACAACAATGGAACTGCATACACTAGATATCTTAGAATATTGTTGATGCCCAACAAGCAGAAAATATACCATCTTTTTAAATATCCATAAAAATATTTACAAATGATTGTGTTAAGCCATATGGAAATTGTCAAAAAAATTAAAAAAGAACATTTGGACCAAATTCTCTAACAACAGCGGAAAGATAAAAATTTTAAATTCTTAAAAATTTAAAAATATCCTTCTATGAATTCCAGCACGCATATAGTGGATTCTTTACAACAACAAAGTCAATTTTACTGTATGCTACTTTACTAAAAGTTAAAATTAAAAATCTTCTTGGGGCCAGCCCTGTGGCATAGCGGTTAAGTGTGTGTGCTCTGCTGCTCGTGGACCAGGTTCGATTCCGGGCATGTACAAATGCACCGCTTGTCAGGCCATGTGGCAGCGTCCCATATAAAGTGGAGGAAGATAGGCATGGATGTTAGCCCAGGGCCAGTCTTCCTCAGCAAACAGAGGAGGATTGGCATGGATGTTAGCTCAGGGTTGATCTTCCTCACCAAAAAAAAAAAAAAAAAATCTTCTTGTGTTAAGATGCATTTAAAAACATATTTTAAAATCCTCTAGAAATGACTGATAATCAGGTACTACATATTGAAACATTGCATTGCAGGCCAAGCAATACCCAGAGGAAACGTCATTGCCTTAAAAGCATTTATTAGAAAACCAAAAACTTTGAAAATAACATTACCACAAGATGCTAAAAAATAATACTAAAAAAGTAGATGAGATAATTATAACAATAGAAGTTAAACTTCTATTTATAGAAAACTAAAAGAAAATCACAAGAATATGGATGACCTGAACAACACTGTCAACTAACTTGATCTGACTGACATTTATAGAACATTCCACCCAATAACAGCAGAATACACATTCTTTTCAAAGTACATGGAACATGCAACAAGATAGGATATCTTCTGGGCCATAAAACAAATCTTAAATTTAAAAGGACTGAATATACAAAGTATGTTCTCTGAAAATAATAGAATTAAAGCATTTATAGAAGATAGAGCACATAACGTTTCCTACTGATTTCTTTAAAAAACCCATTAAAATCACAGTAAAGGAATTATTTTTTAATTACAGTCATAGATTTCCAAGGACACAGAGAACAGGAGAAGAGCAAACAGAAACACAATTTTGGAAGCTGAAAAGCAAATGAACAAATGGTTGCCTATGTACCGGAATTGAGAAAACTGAATCCTATGCCAGCAAAGGAGAAAGCCAAGGAGGAACTTGATTTATACCACAGATTCCCCAAAATGCTTCAGAATTTGTTGTTCTGGTTTCCTTTGAAGCTGAGTGATGATGTGGCTAAAACAAGAAGATAAAATCAACATCTGGTAAGGGATAAAAGATCTTCCCTCTCACTCCATGCAGCCAGGTAAGCTCCCTCTCCAACCCAGAAGAAGACTGGAGTTTATTCTCTGGAGGGGAGAAAATACGGGTTCTATAGCCTGTGGGATATCAGGCACAGTTGAGAGAAGGGTACCATACTGAGTGTGTTATGAAGTGAAAGTTTGCAGGCTGAATGTTAAGACTTCCAACTTTCTTCCTCTCCTCTGCTCTCAAAATATGGCAGCCACAGACAGGGAACTAGAAGAGTATTTTTCTAGGAACTCTGACCAGCCAAAAGGAAATACAGTAAAAACACTGGAATTACAGAGCTTCTCTACAAAAGAGACTGGCCAGAAGCTACAGTCAACAAGTCTCTGTTATTTGCAAAGAAGTCCCCAATAAGCATTTTAGTGCTCAACTGTTATACACAAGTGAACAGTCAAAAATCCCCAGACATTAGAAGACCTTTAATATCTCTCTCACACACACACACACACACACACACAGAGAGAGAGAGAGAGAGAGAGAGAGAGAAATAAAAAAGCAAAAGCAAGTTGGAAGAAATAGATTATACAAGGCAAAGAAAACTTTAAGAAAAACTATTGTTATTTTCCTCATAGGGAAATGAGAAGATGTGGCTTCTATGAAAGAAGAGAAGGATGCTATAAAGCAAAGGAATATTCAGAGAATTAAAAAGCGTTCTTGAAAACAAAAAACAAATGATAGCTATTTGTAAAATCTTAATAGGAAAAAAATATTGTTGAGGTTATCTCCCAGAAATCACAGCAAAAGGACAAAGAGATGGAAAAGAGGAGATAAAGTAAAATTAATGGACTCATCCAAGAGGTCCAACATCCTAATAAAAGGAGTTCCAGAAATACAGAAGAGAAAATGGAGAGGAAGAAGTCATCAAAAACATTCAAAAATATTTCACACAACTGAAAGACAGGAGTTTCCAGATTGAAAGGTCCCACCAATAGATAAAAATAGATCTTCTCCACATCACATCATCAGGAAATCTCAGAACACTGAATAAGGAGAAGATCCTCTAAGCTTTCAGAGAGAGAAAAATAGGCCTCATCAAATATCAGAATGACACCACACTTCTCAGTGATGTCACTGAAAATTAGAAGACAATGAGGCATTTTCTTTTAAAATTCTGAAAAAAAATGATCTTCAACCAACATTTCTATAGCCAGCTAAACTATTACTGTAAAGATAATTTTTAAAAATTCACCTTCTATGAACTCTTCCTTTTATGGAAGTTATTGAGAGAGGTGCTCTACCATAATAAGGTAGTAAACCAAGAGAGAGGAAGACATAGGATCCAGGAAACCAGGCGCCAACACAAGAGAGGAGAAAGGAACTTCCAGGAACATCCAGGAAGATGGTGGAGAGAGATTGTGAGATGACTACTTGGAGCAGCCTAGAGACAAGGCAAGAACTGTTCTGAAGTCTCCATGAGTGATTTCTTCAAGAATATGACACTGACTGAGCACTTGGTGAATATGAATATATTGAGAGGAATTTGGAGTCGAATTAGGGATAAGAACATAGAAAATGAAGCAAACATAAAAATATGATAACTATTAGCTCCAAGGAAAATTAAAAGCTTCCCTAGAAAGGAAAATTAGACAGAGTAATCAGCTGTGAATAACATTTCCTTGGTTTTCAACCTTGGCCGAACGTTAGAATCATCTAAAGAGCTTTTAAAACTCCAGATGCCCAAACCAAATCTGGATCAATTAAATCAGAAATAGTCATCATTATTTTTTTAAGCTCCCCTAGTGATTTAAATGGGCAGCCAGTATGAAAACCACTGACCTATTCATAACACTGTAAATCCTTAATATTTATATAAGCAAAACTATAACAAATTGGGAGCCTAGGGAGCATGGTTAGAAAGTGGAGGGATGGAAGGGATGGGCAGTAGTTGGACAAAAAGTTAATTCTCCATCTTATGTGATGGAAAGCCAGTTGAATAATGCTTGAAACTGAGCTATCAAGAAGTAGCCACATAAGCATGTTATATAGAAATATGGAGATAAATACCAAATGAATCATCTAAAACACTTGAGAGTGAGAAATAGGAGGGGGGGACTCCACATTTCTTATGAGATGCCTTGTAGAACTGCTTGGCTTTAAACCATGTGCATGTGTGATTTTGACAAAAATTAAAAGTAAATTTAAAAATATAAATAAAAGCTAAAATAATAATGTAGAAAATAACTACAAAAAGAAAAAACTAAGTCCAGTTTCTTGAAAAAGCTAATTAAGTAACAAAAACTTTAGCTAAGAAAAACAGAACACACACACACACACACACACACACACACACGGACTCTGAAATGAGACTTAACTAGAGATAGAGATAATACTAAATAAAATTATAAGAAAATAATATGTATCACTTTATACTTCATAAATTTGAAAGCCAGATGACCTGAATGATTTTCTAAGCTATATAAGTTAGTTACAAAAATAGACTTACAACAATGTAAAAAACGTGAACAGGCTGATAACCATGAAAGAAATTTAAAAACCCAGCATGACGAAAGTCGGCAGGCAGAGAGAGTTTCACAGAGGAAATATTCCTGTATCGTGTATAAATGGTTCCAGATCATAAGAAAATAAAATCTTCTCAAATTATACTATGAGCTTGGTTTAACCCCATTACCAAAGCAGACCAAAAATAAAAATAACACCATACGACACTATGATTTATAAGTATAGATAAAGAATTCTAAATAAATATTAGCAAATTGAGTCTGGCTGTGATTAAAGTAATAATATATTACGATCAAGTAACTAAAATGAAAATAATATTTACCCTTTTGACCCATCAAATTAGCAAAATATTAAAAGATTTACGATTTTCAGTGTTGGCAGTAGTGTGGAGAAATGGTACTCTCTTACACTACTGTTGGGAGCATCAACTTTATAGCTTTTTAAATGAAAAATTGACAATTTCTATCTAAATTTAACTAAATTGAAGATATCTTTTATCCCAGAAATTCTACCTCTATATATCTATTCTAGAAAAGTACTTGCATATTTGGACAAACATGTATGTTCAAGGATGCTCATTTCAACATTATTTATGAGGAGAAAATGAGAAACAATCTAAACGTCCATCAGCAGAGGAGTGACTAAGTATATTATGCTCCATCTATATTTTGAAACACTATGAGGCAGTTCTAAAAATTAGATGAATTGCAATGGAAAGATATGTCAAAAACATATTAAGTGAAGAAAATTTCTTGCCCAATTGATATAGCTTAAAAATAGGGGCCAGCCCTGTGGCATAGTAGTTAAGTTTGTGCTCTCCGCTTCTGCGGCCCTGGGGTTCGCAGGTTCAGATCCCAGGCGCGGACATACACGTGGCTTATCAAACCAGCCTGTGGCAGGCATCCCACATATGAAGTAGAGGAAGATGGGCACGGATGTTAGTCCAGGGCCAGTCTTCCTCAGCAAAAAGAGGAGGATTGTCAACGGATGTTAGGTCAGGGCACGTCTTCCTCACCAAAAACAAAAATTTTTTTGTTTTATGTATACATATGCATATTAAATTACACTGAAAGCATTAAATGGATGTACAGTAAGCCTTTAATAACGGTTAGGAATTACCTAATAGGGATCATGAAGTTTAAGGAGAGAGGGATAAGTGAAAGATGACTTTTGTTTTTTACTTTATATACTTCTATGTTTGAATTTTTACAATGAGAATGTACTCATGTAATTGCATAATTAAAATTAACCAGTTAAAATGTAAAGATCATGTACGCATGTGGACAGATCCTGAAAAGAAGGAAGAAAAAATTTTAAATTAAAACAATTGTATGTTTGTTTTGTTTGATTTAAGGTGATCCTAAGCATTTAAAAAAATATTCTAAGGTTTTATATGGAGCTGGATATGTATGGCTGCTCCAACTCAATGAGACACTTGAAAGATTTTGGAAACAAAAGTTTGAAGGGGGTGACAAATGAGCAAATCTTCCATTTCAAAAAGTCTCACTGTTTCACAATCTAGAAAAAAGATTAATATGTCCCTGGAATATTTAAAATTTCAATTTAACTATATCCTTGCTCACAAGTTTTGACAATCCAATGAGACACTTGCCTGATGTAAGGATGTTTCTGGGTTCAAGCAAGCCTTCCCAGAGTAGATAAGAGGGATTTTTTTTAACCAAACAGGCAACTTACTGCATGATTAAAGAGAATATGCAATTGGTCCCAAACTCTTTCCCATTTCCCCTGATAATAAACAAAGCCTCTGATACACATAAAAAATTTAGAAATCAAATAATTGAGTGTGATATAAAATGCTTTGCCTTTGAGGCAGGTGTAAAGAGTAATCAGTTTGATGGAATCAAATCCTGACTTTACTAGCCTCAAAAGTCTAACCTTCATATAGTAATTTAAATATCTAAGATATAGTTTCTGGCCAGTGGTCCTAAAAGAAAGTGGTTAAATATGAAACTTTTTGGCACAACTCGGTGATAGAGACATCTCTGTTTTCACCCTGTTTCCAACTTGATGACATTATTCCTCTTCGTTTTCCTAGCTCCCTTAGAAGCAGGATGTTCAGGCTACGATTTATTTTAATGAAATTCAGAGAACAGAATTTCCACATAAAACACTGCCAATACACCTCTATACCTCTAACTTAAGGATCCCTGTTGCTCACCATAAGTATTACTTGGTCACTCCGTGATAACAAATTAGACAGCAAAAGCACTTAAAGCTGTGCATTAATGCTTCGCACTTTGCAGACTCCAGGGGACCATTTAAAGTACTGCAGTGGACCAATAAAGTACTATTCATTCACGGGAATGAATAGTAAGGTTGCTTCCCTAAAGCCCTCCTCCTGTCACTGAGATCACTTGCCCTCTCCTTAAGGCTCATCCGTCCCCAGGCTTTGAGATAAATCCTGACATTAGTCTTCAGAAATATAAGATGTTATAGTGTATCACCATGACTCAGGATCAAGTCACACTACACCTCAGGCTTTGTCTTACAGTGTGCCTAATTATGATCTGTGGGTTTCTTCCATTTTCTCGAGATCAAGTTTTTACCAGTATCCTTGATCTAGCAGCTAGGTCCGTGCCTTGTTCTCTAGTTCCAGAATCCCTGGGAATCTAGATGCCAAACAAGACAGATCTTGGTTTGGATCTCAGCTCCACCACCTGCTAGCTCTGTAACTTTGGGCAAGTTTCTTAGTTTCTCCAAACCCCAGTTTTATTATCTTAAATATGCAGAATAAAAAGGGGCCAGCCCCGGGGTCTAGTGGTTAAGTGTGGCACACTCCACTTCAGTGGCCCTGTTCAGTTCCTGGGCACAGACCTACACCGCTTGTGGGCAGCCATGCTGTGGTGGTGACCCACATACAAAATAGAGGAAGACTGGCACAGATGTTAGCTCAGGGCAAATCTTTCTCAAGCAAAAAGAAGAAGATTGGCAACATGTTAGCTCAGGGAGAATCTTCTCAGCAAAAAAAAAAAAATGCAGAATAAAAATACCTACCATATAGAAAATGTAACACGGTGTATGGCATATAGTAGATGCCGGATAAATGTTAATTGCCATCACTTATATCTTTCCTGTTGATTTTTCTTTGATAATCTCAGCAGTGTATTGGAACATCTGAAATTGGAACTTGTCTTGCTGCCCTTCCAAATCTTTATGCCAGCCCTGGGGCTAAGCCTCCATTCCTACTGATATAAGTCAGCAACGTCTCCTACCTACGCAAATCTCTGACTTTGCCCAGTGTTGACCTCTGTGGGACCCTCGCTCCTTGGGAGACACATGACTTATATTTTCTTCCCTCCTGATATTCTCTTAGAACACTATGCTCCATCCTGGCTAAACAGCTCCACATCATGGGAACCTGGATTTGTACTCCAGTGCCTGCCCCCACACATTGGGTGATTCTACTAAGAACTGTCTCTAAAATCCTGCTGAGATGGCTCACTGGGTCTACCTATGGAATGCCTTCTGACACTCATATATGACAAGTATTCCTCACTTTAAAAAAAAAGAAAAAAACTCAAAACCAGTGGATTGACTTTCCCCCAGCTCCCTTCCCTCACTTTGACCCTGAGAGAGATATTTGGAAGAGATGGGATTCCAGCTACTAAGCTGGTGGAAGAGAGCCGCTAAATTACTGTCTGGTTCTTATTATGTGCCAGCATTACACTAAGAACTCTATATTTATTATTGGAAATCTTCACAACATTGCAAGGTAGCATTGCCCCCATTTAACAGATGGGGAAAATGAGGACTTATACAGTTAAATAATGTTCTCAAGTTCACACACCAGCAAGGAACAGAGCTAGGGGGCCGGCCCCGTGGCTTACCGGTTAAGTGCGCACCCTCTGCTACTGGAACCTGGGTTCGGATCCCGGGTGCACACTGACGCACCGCTTGTCTGGCCATGCTGAGGCGGCGTCCCACATACAGCAACTAGAAGGATATGCAGCTATGGCATACAACTATCTACTGGGGCTTTGGGGAGAAAGAGGGGGGAAAAATAAAGGAACAGAGCTAGAATGTGAACCCTTGTTTGTCTGACTTCAAAGTCTATAAGGTTTCTTCAAAAATGGTGGATTCTTTTCTCGCTATATCACATTTCCCCTCACTACACCATTATATATAAATTAACAGATTGCTTCAAAATGTTTTTCAAAATGTTGAAATTCCCAGAGTAATTTACTTCTTGATCAACAAAAATCAGCCCATGAATCTGTACATATATTTCTTTTGTCTAAATGATAGTAATAGCTAGCACATATTCATTGCTTATTATGTGTTTGGCTCTGTTTGATTTATGTGTATTAACTCATTTAATCCTATGACCTAGGTGATATAAACATCCCTATATTATAGTTGAAGAAACCAAGCACAGAGAGGTTAAGTAAATTCCCTAAGATCACTCTGGCAGAGCTGTGATCTGAATCCAGGCAGTCTAGCTGCTGAGCCCAAGCTCTTATCACCACGTTTTACTGCCTCTCAATAATCAGAATAATTGTGTAAATTCTCCACTTAACTTTGCATGTATAAATAACTTAAGGATCTAATCAATTCTTTCGATATCTGAAGCTACCAAAAACCATTTATTGAAAAACAAGGAGTAGCACATTGCTTGTAGATCAAACTCCCTGATCACTTGTCACTGGTATCTGGCTCTTTTTCTCCATAAAGATTAAAGATAGAAAATTCTGCATGTTACTGTAGAAGTCACACTTATCTGAAAAGGGCACATTTCAGGATAAAGTAGACTCTTTTTCCAAGAAAATAATTTCTCCCGCCATAAGTGTAAATAATATTATTTTACTCCATTTGGGTAGCACTCTTTAGATTGTGGCAGGAATGTAGTATACTAAAATCAGAGTTTATCATCTAAAGCTTGAAGTAAAGTAATTTTTTTAAAAAAAAATTTATATGATATACTCAATCATCTCATACATTATAACTTTCTGGTGTGAACAACAATAATCAATAAAGCATTTAATTTCTAAAAATCAGGCTTGTTTTGTTTTTCTATTGTATGAGTCAGTGTCTGGCACATGTGAAGTAAAATGAAGAAAATGAGCTTATAAATCACAGTAATCTCCCTGATAATCACTACTCATTTAGTGAAGGGACAATGTGCTCACTACATGAGGCATTCTTATAAAAGACACCAAGCTGCAATTAACGATCTATAGATCTCATTTGCTCTGAATTAGTAAGTGCTCTGATTCTAATAAATTCTCAATACCTAAGGACCTTATTCTTATTATTTTTATCTCATGTTCCTTGCCCACAGAGAAAGGAAAAGGAAAACGATTTCTTCCCCAAACGCCAGCTGAGTGCATTCTTTTCTCCCTATTTCTCATATATCTACCCAGAAAGGTATTTCAACCAAAACAATGTCAGAAGACATTTTGTTTATTAAAAAGGTTACAGTATTCCTCCAAATCTCTTAACCAGAAGGTATAACTACTGCAAGAATAGCATGATAAATAATGTCTAAAATACCCTTAGCTAATGAAAAACATCCTAAAGTGCCTTCTAAATTATATGGGAAAATTATATTGACTTAGCTTTGTTTTGAAATATTTATATTATGCTATGAAATGTACATTCTGATTTTTCAAATAAAATGATTACCTATATGCTAAATAACTCCACATAAACCAGAATGTGATTACCCAAAAGATCCCATTATATGAGCAGAACATATAATGTAATACTTACTGTTTTATCATTTCTTTTCTCACAACAAAATAGATATAATTTCACTATTCCTGGCAGGCATTAGGATTAATAAATTCAAAGAGGAAAAATCACCCAAGGGCTCAAGTTTGAGACACAAAAGAATGAATCTATAACAGATTTCAGAATCCAAACACTCATTAAGTTAAATCCAAAGAAAACACTAATCCACTGTTTTTGGGTTTTATCTCAGTCAAGGGCCAGAGATGAGGCACTCAGATTAGAATAATGCAAGTAGAGTTTAAGAGTTACATTTTTTTTAAAAAGAGTTTAATTTTTATAAATATTTGAGCAGGATGGAGTTCCCATCCTGGGAGTATTCCTCCTTCTCTTAAGAAAGGCTGATAGAATCTTACGACTGAGATAAGGCATAGGTCATCCTAATTGTGTAAAGTGTTAGAGCTAATGTCTTTGAACCAAGGACAGAACAACGACTTTCTTGGAACAAAAGGATTCTCATCTCAAGTAAGCCCTCAGAGTAGAGGTATCATTTTGAGAGGTGACCCAAAGACTCAGCTTCTGATGGAGTCTCTAGGTACATAGATGATGATAATCTGTGCCCAACAATGAGGGTCTCTAATCTAGCACATTACAGCACAGAGCTGTGGATGCTGGGGAGAGCAGAATCATCAGACAGGAAGGTAACTTAGTCTCAGTCTGATAATAGTCTGTCAAATCCAAGGAGAGAGAAGGGCCACGATCAAATATCTGAGCCATGCTGAAGGGCAGAAAACCCATGCATACCACATCAAGAGAACAGATGAGAAGAGCATACCTCAAACATCAGCAAGGGTGCTATGAAAAATCCTTCCTCCAGGACCTGTGACATCAGAATACATTCTTTGAGGACTCTGAAGGCAGTGGATCATTAAAGGTATTTCTGTTACTATAACCTACCAGTTGCCTTAGAAATGCATCTGCCAAGCAAATCAAGAGAACATATTTTCCATGTTTTTGGTGAGAAGTGAACTCACATCACAGTAAAAGTAATCAAAGCTTTTTGGCTATTTCAATCCCAAATAAAAAAGGCACTTTTCCCCTGCCTTCTCAAGTAAAACATTAGTGAAAACTATTTACTCTAGTCTGGATGATGAGATATCTTCATTCTGAATACCAACTTATGTGATGTGCTATAAAACACAAGGCAGTTTTCTATCACCTTTGGGATTTGTCTTCTCCCTCTAATATGGAAAATAAATGGTCACCTCTTGCTGCTGCCATTTTTTCCTATCTCTATCAGCCTTCCATTCCTCTTCTAGTTTAGGCTGTTCACTTGCTCTCTTCAGAGAAAAACACATAAAAAACTTGTTGAGAATTGCATATTTAAATACACAAATATCTAAATAAGTGTCAGGTGTTTATTGTGATATTATTTCATCTGTTTTCATTATTTATTTGTTTCCTCATTTAAGGATTTTTAAATTTCTCACCACCAGCACCATGTTCTACAAAAATTTTGAAATAATATACAGGAATCCATACAGCAAAGCAAGACAAAAAATAAAATTGAGAAAGACAGAAACATAGTAATGAGACTAGGTGAAATATAAATTAGAATTGATGGATAAACCCCAAGGAGCAATTCAGGATGCATATATACCACCCACGGGAGACTACACTACAGTTTATAGCACAGAGAAGCCAATTTGTACTCGAGTTCACTGGCAGATAAAGAAAAAGAGGAATTATAGTCTTCTACTTGATTCATACTGCCCAGAAGATTTTCTTATTGCCTTCCAATTTGGGGTCACTGAGGATACCAGAAATCTGACCTCTGTTCCATATTACAATCATAGGCTATCTGAGATGAAAGGGACTGAAGATCATCTAACCCAATAACAACTAGAGGGATCAAGTGAGTTTTCATTCCCACAAAGAATAAAAGAGCCAGTTCTAGAACCCTGACATCTGGAGGCCTCTACCTAGTTTAGTGCTTTTTCCAATCAACAACATTGCCACCTCTCTTTACAGTAGGGCAGGAGATTAAGAATCTAAGAATCTTCTGTCTAGGCCTCATTAAATTGAAACAACCATGTCTAACTTCCTGGTTTACTGGCTATATCAGGGTAAGCTTCAGAGGACAAAAGCTAGATACAGATTTAGCCCTCCTGATTGGAGGTAGCCCCAGGTTCATCTACTCACAATTAAGAAAAAGTGTGAAGTGAGGAAGCAAGGATTGTGCCTATACTTACTGGAGCCCTCTTAGAGCCAAAAGGGGGACAAAAGAGTTTCCAAGCCAGGCAAATACAAATTACCTTCATACCCTAGTTCCTGCTCTATTTAGTAGTATCTCTCTCTCTCTTTCTCTCTCTCTCCCTCTCTCCCTCTCTCTCTCTCTCTCTCTCTCTCTCTCTCACATCACCCCCCAACTCTCCTTTCTATACACTGAATTCATTGCTTCTGGTTATAAGGAATTATCAGATAGCAGTGAGACAAAAATTCCTAGAACTCACATGGGGTTAGGAATCATTAGTGCTCCCACCAGCCAAAGTAAACAGATTTCAGAGAATACAAGGATGATTCAGCAGAGATATCAGAAGGGTTATTCCTCAGAAGTTAGGCTAAATCAGCATCTAGATCTGCCCTTTAAAAAGCTTACAAACAAGCTTTGGAATGGTAAAACTGATCCACAAGTGAACTAACTGTGGAACAAAGCCCAACAGTCTTTAAAGGAATACAACACTCAACAACGTAAACTTCACACTCTCCAGCATCCAATAAAAAAAAACTAGATCTATCTGTGAAGAAGCAGGAAAATTTGACACATAACCAGGAAAAAAAAATCAGTTAATAGAAAGAAACCAAAACATGACAGAGTGGTGGGATTAACAAACAAGTACATAAAAATTGCAAAGGAAAATATGATCAATATGCTCAGATAGTTAAAGAAAAACATGAACATAATGAGGAGAGAATAAGAAAATATAAATAAAAGCCAAATAAAATTTATAGAAAAGAAAAACACAATATGTGAAATAAGAAATTCACTGAATTAGATTAACAGCAGATTAGATACTGCAGAAGAAGAGATTAGTAAACTTGAATCCATAGCAATAAAAACTATCCAGACTGAAACACAAGCAGAAAAAAATCTTAGAAAAAAATGAACAAAAACTCAATGACTATGGAATGATATTAAGTGGTATAACATGCTAATTGAAGTCCCAGAAAGAGAATAGATAGAGGGAGGAATAGAAAAATTATTTGAAGAAACAATGCCTGAAAATTTTCCAAAATTATGTAATCTATAAACTCACAGAACCAAGAATATCAACAAATCCCAAGGAAGATAAACAAAAGAAGACCACAAGAAGGCATATCATAATCAAATTATTAAAAAGAGAAAATATTAAATGCAGCCAGTGGAGGGTGGGGAAAAGTGCATTACAGATAGAGGAACAAGAATAAGAATCATTACAGATTTCTTGTTAGAAACCATCACGCCTAAAGACAATGGAATGACATCTTTAAAGCACTGAAAGAAAAATAACTGCTAACCTAGAATTTTATACTCAGTGAAAATATCTTCCAAAAAATGAAGATGAGGAAGACCTCTGGTTTTAGCTCCAACATGTAAAGAACTTAGAAGTTGTCACACCTGTCCTTACAACAAGAATAAGCCGGACAAATTGAAAATCAAGACTTCTCTTGGACCAATCACAAGGCAAACCACCACCTTGAAATCTGGAGAGACAGATGCATTCAGAGAGGCAAAGCCAAGATCTGCTTATCTGAAGCAGAAGCCATGGGAGCCAAAATGGTAGGAATACTTAATGGCAGTTTGGACAAATTGTTGGAGACTGAGCACGGACTAGTGTTAGAGTAAGAAATTTCTGGAAGCCAAGTCTTAAGGGGACCCCAACCAAGTTCTTAAAGTTAAGATCCAAGAAAGATCCACTTATGGCTCTGGCAGGAGGAAAGGAAGAGTAATCACTGTGAAACATGCCCAGAGGCTTCTCTATAATGAAGGCCTACTCTCCAGAGGAAAAGACTTTTCCAAGCTTTACCACAACTGGGGGAAGGACATTTCTCCTACGTCAGCCCTTTATAGCATTCCTGTCTCAGCTAAGAGATAATTTTTTATAAAAGCTATACCACTGGAGAAAAATTTATGAAGTTCACAGCCCAGAGACACAGGCCCACTAAACAATGGAGATTTAATCACAGTCTTATAGAACCCAAATGTTCATCAACAGTTGAAAGGATAAATAAATTGTGTAATATCTATTCAATGTAACACTACTCAGCAATAAAAAGGAATAAACTACTGATATATGCAACAACATGGATAAATCTCAAAAACTTTATGCTGAGCAAAAGAATCTAGATACAGAAGAGTACATAGTGTATGTTGCATTTATGTGAAACTCTTTTTTTAAAAAGGCAAATCTGAGCTATAGTGACAGAAAGTAAATAAGTGGTTGCCTGGGGTCAGGGATAGATAGGGGATTGACTAGGAAAAAGGACAAGGAAATGTTTTTGGGTCATGGAAATGTTCCATATCTTGATTGTGGTGGTGGATATATGAGTGTATATATTTGTCAAAATTCATCAAAAATGAACACTTAAAATAGATGTATTTGGGTGCCAAACCTTAAAAAAAAAAAACTTTTAAAATTGTCTAGCCTACATAATAAGACTATTTCATCTTGCTCCTTCTTCAGCAGAACTAAAAATGTACCCTTCACCAATGCTTACCTGACTGATTTCCAGACTTGAAGCCAGTGGCCCTGTCATCCCACATCCTTCTCTTCTGGAAGAAAAACAATGGGAATTACATTAATCTTTTGTCATCTCTTGCATTTACCAGCCCTTAAATTATTTTGATTGCATTTACCGCCATAAATTAGTATTTATTGAGCACCCATGGGGTGCTTTGCAACTCCTCTCTATTCTTTCACATGTCACTTGAGTATATTTAGTGCTCTCCATAATATTATTTAAAATTATCTAATTATTTAAATGAAGAAATTATTGCAATTTCATTTTTGTGTGTGTGAGGAAGATTAGCCCTGAGCTAACATCAGATGCCAATCCTCCTCTTTTTGCCGAGGAAGATTGGCCCTGGGCTAACATCCGTGCCCATCTTCCTCTACTTTATATGGGACGCCGCCACAGCATGGCTTGACAAGCGGTGCATTGGTGTGCGCCCTGGATCCGAACCTGCGAACCCTCAGGCCACTGAAGAGGAGTGCACGCACTTAACCGCTACACCACCGGGCCAGCCTCTGCAATTTCTTTATTTTTTTAAACTGGTCTTGAATT